GTGTGTGTGTGTGTGTGTGTGTGTGTGTGTGTGTGCGCGTGCAGAAAGCCTGCGAGGCTGCACAGAACACTAGAAAGAAGTGATGACATGTGTGGGTGGAATAAAATCAAGAATACATGATCAGATAGATTTTCTTTAGAAAAACATCTGCAGACTTTAAATCAGATCCATGACTTCTGATGGTTTTTGTGCTGATGGGAGCAACAACCAGCACACAGGAAGGACACTTCCTGTGTTTCAAAACCAAACGGCTTAAAATGAGCTGAAAGAGGATTTAGTTTGGCTTGTCGGGCAGGTTCGGTTGGTCTTGCAGGAAGAAAATCCTGGGTTTGAAACTCATTTGGTACAGTTTTGCATGAAGTTTACATGTTTCCTGCCACATGCACAGAATATGCAAGTTAGGTTCATTGGAGACACATCTTGTCCAAAAAGGATGCAGAAAAACTGATCCATGCATTTATCACGTCTAGGCTGGGCTACTGTAATTATTTATTATCTGTGTCCAAAAAACTCTTTAAGAAGCCTTCAACTGATCCAAAATGCTGCTGCTAGAGTTCTTCTGTTGTGACTTGATGCTACACAGATAAATGAAGTTGAACTGACCCTGTGTTTGTGTATCTACAGCATGGTTTGTGACGTAAACAACACAACTCGATACACTGCCAACAGTTTAAAGACGCACAGGCAGCACAAATGAGTACAATATGTTCTATGCTTTCAGCTTGATAGGATGTGATTCATAGTGTTTGTGTACCTGCCGCTCACACATTGTGTACCAAAAACACACAAATCCCTGCAATCCTGAACAGAAAATGAAAGGATCTTTAAGTTAGATAAATAGAAAGTTGATTGTTAGACAATGTTGCCATTTAGGAAATGGATTATTTTCCCAAACACACAGTTCTTTACGATGAGGGGTGCAGCTTTTGGAACCAGACTGAACAGTTAGAGAGAAATAAGGTCAGAGGTTAAAGCAGCTGCTGACACTGAAAATAATCTCTGAGAAGGAAAACATGATTTGATGACACATCTTTACTGTATCAAGTGGAACATGAGTCTGATCACATTATGACACCAAAGGTCAAGTTCTTTCCAGTATTGTGTGTGTGTGTGTGTGTGTGTGTGTGTGTGTGTGTGTGTGTGTGTGTGTGTGTGTGTG